ACCGTGCTACCTAGTTGTGTCCATTACCTCCAGCGTTCCTTCCCACTGGATAGGTGCTTCAGTTTCCTAAATCCCATTGCAAAGAAGACACCCAGTGCATGCTACATGCAGGACAGGAGGCCAGTTTGCTACATGACAATAGTTTTGTGTTTTTTTGCTGAAGTCTGTGCTTTGTAGTAGGTTTTGCAGGTCTTCCAGTGCTGGTTTCTTTGGATCTCATTATAAAATTATTTGAGACACTTGGATCTTTTTTTTTTTAATCAGTTAAGTTCTGATCATTTTTCACTCCCACAGAAACCACTTCACACCCAGCAGATAGCACAATCCATCCACGAAGAGCCTTCTGCTGTTAAAGAAATTGTCTAGTCTAACTCCCTTCCACTTTACAGAAGAGAAAAAAGGAGGTATAGAGTGTGAGATTAGAAAAGTAGGAAGGGGCCAGGTTGTAAAGAGTTTTTAAATGCCAAACAGATAGATCATTCCAGAGGGAATATAGAGCTATTGGAATCTGATTGCAGTTCCAAGATTGGAGAGTGTAGTCAGTGCAAGGATAATGGCCTGGGAAAGAAGAGAGGGGAAGGTAGAATAGAGGTAACAACATGGACAAAAAACAGGGTTAAGGGCTGTAAGGCATATGAAAAGATGATAAAAGATTATGAGCTAACAAGAGAATTTTAGAATTCATGAACATGCAAGTGAAACACTTGTGGAACATAACATCATGAATATGACATGTAGCCATATGTAGCTGAGGTAGCGTGGAAGGGTAGGTTATAGAAACTGAGCAGACTGAGGAACCAGGAAGTTAGGGTATTTGAGGGGGTCATTAATATGTATGTTGAAGTCTCCTATTAGGGCAGAAATTGGGGAGAAAAAAGATTGTGAGCTAGGTATTGAACTCACTGAGGAAAAAGGAAAATGAGGAGAGGTCAATAGATAATAGCTCCCAGGATCTAGATTAGTAACAAATCTGAATAATTTAAATTTGAAAGGAAGAGAAGCTGCTGCATGATGGTGGGAGAGGGAGAGTCTGGAAATGACAATAGGGAGCAAGGAGTATTCCAAGTCATTCTCATTATGACCAGTGTGATCATTGTGTGGAGGGTATGAGTGAAAGAGTAAATTGTTCCTATTTTTTGGCATCTTTGTCAATACAGCTGGTATTAGGTGAAACCTCAGTATTGTTTTAATTCTCATTTCTCATACTATTCATTCCAATCTATGTTGGAGAGGCTGTGAGGAGACAGACATGCTGATGCCCTGCCAGTGGAGCTGTGAAGTGTTCCATACAAATCTGGAATTATACAAAAAAAAAAAAACCTACTAAACCCACTACATTCTTTGACTCAGAAACTCTACCACTGGACTTAAAACCCAAGGCACTATGCTACATCACCAAAAGTTGAGATTGATTATAGATTAATGGACAGAAGTGCTTGTTACTGATACAGTAGTCATTCCTGAATTAGGTGTGTGTGTACCGACTATTGACTCGTTAGAAGATTAAGACTAACATGATTAAGAAGATAGGAGGAGGAGGAGGAAGAAGAGGAGAAAAAAGGGAAAAGGAAGATGGGGAGAAGTAAGCAGAGGTAAACAAGGAGGAGGAAGAGGACATGTGACTTATAATTAAAACAACTTGGGCCTGAACTGATGTAGATCAATAGCCATAAAGGGAGACCAAAATAGCCTAAAAACCTTCTTCGTTAGCAAACATTTGATCTACTTGCCAAGAGGAGAGTAGCCAGAGGATAAAACTGATTTAGATTATAAACTTGTTTGTAAAACTGTACAGAGAATGATGGTGGAAGATGAGGAGTAATACTGCCTCATAAAATAGCAAGAGCAGTGGAGGGAAAACCCAGTTTGACATGGCAAAATAGTGGGGTGGTTTTTTTTTTTTTCCCACGAACTCATGCTATCAAAAAGCCTCCAAAAAAGAAAAGGAAGGAAGGAGGGGAGAAAGAAAAAATGTCTGAGGCTGGGTTTGAACTACTCCAGGCCCAGTGCTGTATTCATACCCACCTGGCTGCTCACTTGGACTTCATTACTGTCTCCAGAAACTCACCTTCCTGCAAGAGTACATCAACTCTGAAACTCACATCTTCTCAGTAGCCCCCATCCTTTGGGCCTCTCCCTCTTTCTAATTTGAGAGGGTGGAGGGTGGACATTGGAAAGCTTGTCCCACATCTTCTATTTAAGGATGGGGCTCAGGGCAGCCACCTCATCATTTCCCACCTGGCTGCAGGACTTAGTTGTGCCCCTCCCCAGGCCAGTACCCTCCCTCTTCTTTCTTACCCCATTTCTGCTTCTTTTTATGTGCTGTGTTCCTCCATTATATTGTACCTCGAGGGCAGGGACTGTTTTTTGCTATTTTTGTGTCTCCAGAGCTTAGCACACTGCCTGGCACATAATATAAATAAAGAAGATAAAAATAAAAATAAAAAATTGAAGAAAAACAATTGCATAAGTAGAGTTCGGGAGTGGTATGGCTAGACAACAGTTAACAGGCACTTAATATAAATAATCAATGCTTATTGACTGTCCACTGTGCCACCTATCTGCCTACTACCAATTATGTCTGATTAACCTTATTTCCTTTCGTGAAAGGGATACCAGAATGGGAGAGCAAGAGAATGTGATAGGTATAGTATACCTGAATTTCAGCAAAGCCCTTGACAGAGTCTCTTATGCTAGTCTTATGAACAAGATGGAGAACAAGGTTGGGCCATGGTATAGCTAGGTGGATTCAGAAGTAGCTGAATAACCAAACCCAAAGAGGTGTCAGTGTCAGCTTAGACCACGATCTCTAGTGTAGTGCTTCAGAGGATCTTTTCTTTGTTTTGTGCTCTTCAATATATTTTTTCAGTGACTTGGATGTGGGTATAGTTAGCATCTTTATCAAAACTGAAGGTTATATAAGCTGGGATGAGGAGGCAATACATTGGTTGGTAGAATCAGGATCAAAAGACAATGAAAGGTTCATTTAAGAGCATGAAATTTACTAGGGATAAATAGAAAGTTCACTTAGATTGAAGAAAAACAATTGCATAAGTAGAGTATGGGAGTGGTATGGCTAGACAACAGTTAACAGGAAACACTTAGGGGTTTCAGTGGACTACATGCTCAACATAAATAAAAAGTGTGAGATGGCAGCCAAAATATTAAGAGACTCTTAGACTGCATTAATAGAGTTACAATATCCAGAACTAAGAATGAGGGATGTGCTCTGGTCAATTAATTAACAGACATTTATTAAGTGCTTAATATGAGCTGGATATGCTTGCTAGGCCCTGGGAGTATAAAGACTAAGAGTAAAACAATTTTATACTTTCAAGGACCCCATAACTGGATTAGTGTCCAGTTCTGAGGACCACATTTTAGAAAGGACACAACTAACTGAACTTAACCAGAATGATGACTACAAAAGGTGAGAGGACTGGAGACCATGTAGGCCAAGGCTTGGTTGAAGGAACGGGTAATATTTCAGGAAAAGATTTAAAATGGGGTATGATTGCTGTCCTCAAATATGTAAGGAATTATCAAAGGTGGAAGAGGGATTAGGCTTGTTTTGCTTACCTTTTACAGCTTTAATATTCTGTGGTTCCAAGAATGTGAAGGGTTAGCCCATGGAAGAGGGATTACATTTACTCTGTTTAGTCCCAAAAAGAGAATGGGGAGCAAGGAATGGAAGTTGTATGAATGTAGATTTTGGCTTAATTTAAGGGAAAACTCCCCAAAGATATGGTCCAAGTACAGAATGTGCTGCCTTAGGATGTACTGGGTTACCTTCACTGGATATCTTGAGGCCTCTTGTCAGAAATAGAGCGGAAAGCTTTCTTAATCATATATAGATTGGACTAGATGACCTTTGAGATGCTTGCTCACTCTAAGACTGATATTGTGAAAGGATATAAAAGGTTATCTTGTCAGTCTCACTTCCTATTTAATTAAGACAATATAACATCTGTGGTGTCTTTACCTATGGGCATCCACACTCTGTCTGCACATTTTTGGTGACCTTATTCAGTGGCAGCTGGTAGCATAGTAGGTAGAGCCCTGGACCTGGAACCAAAAGGACCTGAGTTCAAATATGGTCTCAGATACATATTAGCTGTGTGACCCAGGACAAGTCACCACTTCTGTATAAAATGGAGATAACAATAGTAGCTACCTCCCAGGGTTGTTGTGAGGCTAAAGACATAATATACACATGTCACTTTGCAAATCTTAGAGCACTATATAAATGCTATTTATTATTATTAAACTTCCTTCAAGTCTTTCCATTGAATTCTATGCAAAAATGTTTCTGTGGGCTTCTGAGTTGTAAAGAATGTACTTTAATGTTGTACTTTAGTATAAACTACTTTACAACTTTAAAACAATAAACTGAATTCATATTCTACACTCTGTTCTTTGAACATATGCTCATTTTCAGAGCCTTCTCAAAGCCAAGAGGAACAATAAGTAAAAGATAATTATTAATATAAACTCAACAGGAAATTATGTATTAAAGTTACCATCCTGCCTTGGTTCATTCTTTGATGTGTCTGAAAATACAAATCTTAAGTTACCATACCCAACTTAAAAAAAAAAAAAGCATTCCATTTGATTTGAAAACCACAACTCATTTTCTTTGTTGCCATGTGATTAATGAACTTTCAAGAGTGCATTTTAGATGTATGGTACAATGGATTAGCCAACTTTTATGAAAATTGCATGTGTAATCCTTCTAGAGAGTACCAAAATTGTGTCTAAGGCACTATTTAAAAAGTTTTGTTCTTAATTAAGCTCACCAATTTAAACAATTAAAGATCAATGGGACAGCACTATTGTATTAAAGACATATGCCTAAGGAAATGCCCACATCTCAAATTTAACAGCTGCATGTTTAAAGATTGTTTGTATTTACTCTTGCTATGTAGTAAGTGGCTTCAAACAGACTAAGATTTATGTATGTCTGTGAAATTTGCCAATCAAGATGAAAGTCAGTGTCATTATTCATTGTAGGACAAATTGTTTATTCCAAGTTCTAACAAGGGTTTACATAAGTTGTTATGCAATATAAATGAACACTGAAAATAAGAAACAAGTTTTCATAGCATGCCATTTTCAATGTTGTTATTAAAACATGTGATTTTGTATGAAAAGAAATGGGGTATTTCCACATCATTCAAGAGTCCATAAAGTATGTTTCAAAGTTCATATCCAAGTCTGAAACAAGAGCACCAACAAAATCTTCAACGGAGAGACACTTTTGAAGCATATCTGAAAGAATGAAAGGGAAAATGGTCACTAGGTAATCAATATTTTATATATTTATGTAAAAATACCATGAAATTTTTAGGAACTAAATCATTATATTAACAACAATTATATCAGATCAGATGAAACTTAGAGATTGTCCAGCCTTTTGAAAGGAGAAGTGGAAAGGGAAGAAAATCAGTATTAATATAGTGCCTACTATGTGTCAGGCACTGTGCTCAGCACTTTTTTACAAATATTATCTCATTTGATCCTCACAAGAACATTGCAAGGTAGGTGCTATATGATTGTCATTTTACATTTTGAGGAAAATGAGGCAAACAGAGGTGAAATGACTTGCCCAGGGTCATATAGGTAGTAAGTAACTGAAGCCATGTTTGAACTCAGGTCTTCATGATTCCAGGCTCAGCCCTCTATCTACTGTACCACCATCTTCCTTTAATACAACAAGGTTATGACCTACTTTTTCTTATATTTTTGGTTTCCACTTTGACATTTGGATTGGCATTTCTGGCAAGAATACTCAAAGCTCAAACTTGGTACTCTATTGATATGACTATTATGTTTGGAAATACTGTAATCTGCTGATATTATGTCAGAATCAATAGTTTCTTTCTTCTAGGCTGCAACTCAACAATAATTCAGTTTAACGAGTCCATAATTATCTTTGGTTAGGATCTTGCTATGTGATAGGAAAGATACAAAATTCATGTAAGCAACACATTCCCTGCTCTCATGGAACTTAGAATACAGGGAGGAAACACACATAGATAACTTCTACATATAGTAATACCTAGAAAGGGAAGGGAATGGAGCATTTATATAGTACCTACTATGTGCCAGGCAGTGTGCTAAACTCTTTATAAATATCTTATTTGATACCCAAGACAAGTACATTAGAGAAATTAAAAAAAACAAAGTGATATGTGAGGTGTGAGTGGGGAAAAGTTTTTACTGACAGAGGGGGAATGGAGGGATGAGTGGAGAGAAGCTTCACAAAAGATGAGACTATTGTTTTCTCTCCACTCATCCTTTAGAGAATGATTCAAGAAACCAACCCTGTCGCCGCACCCAAATTCCAGAGAGCCAAGAATACTTCAGGGTTTGAACAAGATTCTTACCAGCATTAAACTTCAAGGGTAGATTGTATAAGAGAGTATCCAACACTATTACAGAGAAAAAAAGGCCACCTCTCACTCTTCTACTATGTACTCAAAATTTTATAAGAATTATAAATAAATAGGAAAAAATATTTTACTGAAAACTATCACTTAGTTTTTGCTAAAAGACTTCAAAAATGGGGAGACCCTACTACCTCCTGGGGCAGACCAACCCATTTGGATTTTAAAGCTATCCAAACATCTTACTCTTGATCTAAGCTCTATCTTGACTGGAAAACTCATTTCAGACACTAACATTTAGAACTGCATTTCCCTGCAGGACAAATAATTTCTAAAGAAGCAAATTTTCTAGCCCAGCCATGCTAGACCAGCTGTCATTGATGACTTAATGCTTTCTCATTAAAATAGATAAATGTATAAATAATAAACTAACACATACCCTTTGGATACATAACCAGGTGAACCTGGTCTCATTACAAGTCAGAAAGACTTTAAGAAAAAAAAAAAAGGACTGGAATTTGGTGCTTCAGTTAGTAGTAGATAGCACATTGTACTTTTTACAGAGAAAACATGTTTTCTGTATAAAACACAATGGTGGTATGAGGGCATAAGTTATTTTTAGCTGTTGCACTATAACAACACATAACAACTTGTTAGCCTGTTTTTCTTCCTTTTAATATCTGAAATATTTTTATGGTGAAATGACTAGTTACAGGAATTGTTCTAAGTTAAATCTAGTTTATTCGGCGCTAACCCTTACTGTAAGTATAACCTAGTGTTTCTTTGAAGTGGCTCCTTTTCAACTCACCAAACTGCCAGTATAAATATGACCTTACCCTACCCTCTTCCACAGACACACCTAAAGCACCTCCTTCTCCAGTTATACATGTCTTCAAACCATTCCTTTTTCTCAGGGAATGATAATAATAGTAGGCACAATGAAAGAAAAATACTTTTGTTGTCTCCCTTTAATAAAGTCTGGCTAAAGCCAACTGGCTCAGCTCAGTTAGAGGTGATTCTGCAGGGAATGTAATGGTTAAAGATGATGGTTCAAAAAAAAAAAAAACACAAAAAAACCTCAGCAAGAAAAGGCATCAAAACTTGAGGCAAATGGGAGAATGTCCTTGCTCTGTTCTCACAGTATTCTAACTTTAATTAGATTTAAATGTGTTCTGCAAGTATCAACATGAGATTTGCGAATTAAAGACAGTTCATGAATTAAAAGAAAAACCCAATGCTTACAGACTATTCAAAATATGAAAAACAAAGCTGGTTTTTATGTGGGAGCATGGTCAAAAGGAGACTATAGGCCCTGATTTTTAATTGTTGACAATGTTCTTTTTGGCTTTGGAGCTTTATTAAATATGGGCTTAAGACTCTCTGTTCTGGAAGAAAAACTCAGAAATCATGCAGATGTTGGATTCCACAGTGAATGGAGCTAAAAAAAACAGATTCAACTGTGGAAATCATTAAAAATAGGAAGAAGAAACTCTCTACCCTTAGTCCAGAGACCTGAAGAAAACTACTTTGCAAACATGCAAAAACTATTAATAGCAAGTACACAGAAAGGCAAAACTGTACTATTCTTATCTTGAAATACTAACTCAAAAGAAGGAAATACCATAACAAATGAGGATGGATATTTATTTACCTAATACCGGGAAGTGAACGGTATACACAGCAAGGGAGTAGAAAGACTGAGGATTTCCTCCATTTCCCTCCTCATTTTACCTGAGTAGTAAGTGGACTAATCAAAAATTTCTGGAAATTAATACATTTTGTAATCCCCCCTCTTTGTTCAAATTATGTAATTTTCATAACTCTGAGGTGCCAGGGCAAGTGTTCGAGGGGACACCAAAACAAATGATGATATTCAAAGAATTTTAAGCTTTTCTTTAGGTTTTCCAAACTGTACCACATAGCATCTCTTTCTTTGTAATGTCTGTCAACTTAAAACAGATTACGTTACAGAAAAGTGAGTATGAGAACTTGACCCCCTGGAAGACAGTTCACTTTTCAGGTTTTTTTTTTATTAGGGAATCGACTGATCCTCAATATGTCATAAATGTAGAAGTAGGAAAAGTAAGTCAAGCTGGTTTCCAATGCCACATGCACTTTCTCATTCCCTTCTTAAACTTCTCTTTATGTGTGTCATAAAGACTCTGCTTAAATTGCCATCATTCATGCCAGTATACCTTCCCAATTTTTAATTTCAGGTACTGCCCAATTAAATCAATGTTACAGAGTTCATTCTACAAGTAGTCAAGAAAGTAATATTTACAGGCCATGAAGGAGGGAGACAAAGGGAAAGCCTTTGCTGAAAATGATACCAGCTAGTATTAACAAGAACTATGTGGAATAGGACAACATTCAGACAGGTACTTTTAGAAAAACGTGAGTTGAGGGTGTTGTGGATTAAACAGTACAGAGCCAGGCAGACGGTGGGAGCTCAACAAAGCTGTTGCTACAGGGTTCTTGCTATGACTTCAACTTGAACGTTGGCAGCTAATAGATTTGTACTTAAGATGTTTTCTGAGTGCCCTCCAGGTATCTGTGCTAATGCTTCACTTACAGAAGTCCTTACATGTTCAAGGGTCTTCTAACTATGCATACTGCAATGCTATCACTAGGAAAATATTCTCTCCAACCCAGGAATGAGGTTCAATACAGGTAACAAAGTGATAATACTTCAAATTTCTCATGGCTTTTAATTTTACCTTCTCCAATTCTGCAATATATAATCTCACAAGGCTCACATTTAGATGGCAACACATGTATAAATATGAATTTATTTAAGCCTTTGACTATGGGTTTGGATATACAATTGAGGCACAGTGTTTAGCAGTTGTCACATGTATGGCTCTGAATCAATCTCTAGAGCCTTAGGTACGTCAGACATTCCTTGTTTGGATCCTGATAACGTCTATGACTTATCCCCAAGTTTTACCAGTTCTTGCGGTGAGAGGGCTTTCTGTATCATGAACATTAAAAAAATTAGGAAAAGAATATTTCATCCACAGATTTGCCATTTAGCTAAAAGGAAACAAATGAAGGAAATAAGAGTTTTAGGTCTTCTCCAGAAGAAGGGGAATTTTTTTAATACCTTAACTAACACCACTTCAAGCCCTAAATTAAACAGTGAACTCTGCCTGGATAACAAAATGGAAGTGGTTCAATCAGATCAATGACCTCTGCTCAGGTAAACATTGGTATAATACCAGTGACTATAATGAAAGCAGAGACAATTTAAATAAGCAAGGATTAATAAGCAGCTTGCTAGGTACTGCATGAGGTGCTAGGGATGTAAAAGGTAAAACAAAACAAACAAAAAACCAAACATACAACCATTCCTTCCCTTAAAGAGCTTATAAGAAGAGAAGACTGACTTTAAAGGATGCTATAGTAAGAAATCTGGAAAGAAGAGACTGGATCAAGCCCAAATCCTAGTTCCAATATGTGACTAGTTGTTTAACAGCAGCAAATCACTTCTGGGCTTCAATTTCCTCATCTGCAAAATAAGAAGAGTAGCACTAGTACTAATCCTGACAGCTTGCTATGAGGAAAACACTATATAGGATGTCCCAAAAGTTTTAATGCAGTTTTAAGCTATTAAAGCTTCATATTAAAAATGTTAAATTGTATTAAAGATTTTATATTAAAGCTGGTGAAACCCAGGATTAAAACAAGGTCTAAACTACCTAAGGCTCTAGAGATTGAGTTGTCCATACTCCAACTGCCTCAGTTGTACATCTAAACTTATACCAAAGTGTCAAATAAATTCATTATTAAATTTGTTAAATAAATTCATTAATAAAGCTTTAGTAGCGTAAAACTATGCTAAGACTTTTGGGACATCTCATATAAAGGTGAGCCTTATATATA